AAAAAAAAATTTTTTTTTTCTCCAGGGTTTAACAATAAAAAAACGGCTTTTTGTAGCGATTCAGAAAACCGGAAAAATCAGTTATCCGGAATATCGATGGTCCCGATCGTTCCGGATAATCGGTTCCCTACTGTATTATAATTGTTTCTCATTAGAATTGCATCTTCAAAAGTAATTAGTGAGAAAGTAACAGTTCCAATCAGAATAGAAAAAGCCTTCAACTGATGTGTCTGAATACTAAATGGAATGTTTCATTTTAAAATCTTTTATTTTTTGGTATTTTATGGAATAGGAATCGTGATATTGAATTTTGAAGAGGTGTGGCTACAAATTGCAATAATGAATTTTCATGGTGCGTAGCGAAGAAGCGCTTAAGGGTGCTTATTTTTGATTTTCATTTCTTAAAGCCCTTAAAGGTCCTTTTTTAATAGGGTGTTTTTAAAAAGTGCTTAATTTTTCCTTTTCGAAAATTAGATTTTTTTTTCGTTACTGTGTCGATTTTCGCTGCGTATTATGCAAAAGCGTGGTTTTTTACTTTGTTCTATTCAACGTTTTCACAAATCATCCAACCCCAATCCATTTCGGCTTACCGCCGGCCCGTGACGTATGATAGCACTCCAATCATGTTACACGTTTGATGAAATACTTGGGAGTCTGCATGAGCGTTTACTGAGATGAGTTCGGTGAGATTCTTGCACTCTCATGTGCAACTCTGCTGCATTTTGCAAGATATTCTCAATTTCAGACTTCATTTTCCACCCTCTGAAATCGAACCGAAAAATCTTGATCTTTTTATCGTGGCTAATATAATCAAGAAGAGAACTCTATGTCTGAAACTAGTTTCTTTATAATGATCATGTAAAGTCTTTGAAAACTATTTTGCATTTTGCTAATGTATATAGTTAAAAAATATTTTTTGAGTGCTTGAATAGTTGGAATTCGAATTGTGAGGTGTGATTATTTAACGGCGTGAATGTGAATCATGACATTTGATTTTTAAAGCTCTCAAATTTGAATCCTGATATGTAATTTTCAAATTGCTGGAATTCTATTCACAATGTTTGATTTTTTAAATTGTGTGAAAACTCCTGTTGATTTTTTTTAAAAAACATCTGTAAAATTTAAGAATTTTCTCGGATGCATCCATACATACATACCCTCCAACTGCTACGGAATTTCCGTAGTTGCTACGCAGGGGTCTGTCCAGGCCGAATTTACTACCGTTTAGCGGTACCTTCACAAATTCAACTTTAGGAAAAACGGTAGTTTCACAAATTCAATTTTAGGAAAAACAGTAGTTTCACAAAATACTTTTTCTTAAAATGTCATTTTTGTATCCCTTAAGAAACGATAAATCCATATTTTTGTGTTGATTTTTTAATATAATTTTTAATTTTTCACAAATTACGTCTAAATTTTCACAAAATAGGTACCTGTCAGAAAAACCTAGACAGACCCCTGCTAGGGAAATTGGAGGTAAACTACGGAGCTACGGGTGCTAGTAAAATACTACAGATTAAAGGAAAGCGCCTGTTCAATCTCTCCGCTTCCGCTGTTGTCGTCTTTCAAGCTTGGTGACGTCACTGATTGCGTATCGCCGAAAATGACGTCATGAGCTGTTAGCCTTGGTCGGGAGAAACCACGTGATTATGAAGGGTTACTCATCGGCGGTGCCATTGTAATCTGCCTGAATGCAGCTGTTCTTTGAGAAACTGTGTTAGTTTTTTGCTTTACACCGTGTGAAGTGACTTCAATAAAAATTTTTGAAAACTTTGAATTTTGCTGCTCCGATGTTAAAAGAATGATACGTTTTTGTTTGAAATTTTAGATTATTTTTCATCCAGCTTTTATCGCGTTAGTTTATAAGTTGTGTATGTATTATTAAATTTTATTGTGATGGATCGTTATTTGAAAAGATCTAATCAGGATCGGGAGGTTACTAATGATGATGGGTTACGAAAGAAGAGGAAGAATAATCAAAAGTTTAGAGAGGAATATACTAAAAAGTTTCCTTGTTTAGTATCGGGAAAAGAAGGCTTTGCGAGATGCACTATTTGTAATTCAGAATTCTCTATTGTCCACGGTGGACTGGATGATTGTCGCCGACATGTGATCGGTCCTAAACAATGTGCTACTGCAAAAGCACAGGTGCATCAGCATCCTATTAACAATTTTTATTCTTCAAAATTAGAAGAAAATATTGTGATTAAAGCTGAAGTATTGTTCGTACGATTTTTAATTGAGCACAATATTTCACTATCTGCTTCCGATCATTCTGGCGCCTTATTTGGAAAAATGCTCCCAGATTACGACATTGCAAAAAAGTATGGGTGTGGACGTACCAAGACCCAGGCAATAACTGTTTCCACTGCTGAGGGGATAAGAGAGAGTACTGTAAGTAAGCTCAGAACATCCTTATTTTCTCTTTCAACTGACGGAAGCAATGACACATTAGATAAAAAGCTATATCCTTTAATTTTTAATTACAGTGGGTGATCGGTTAACGAACAGATCGGTTAACGAACAAATCGGTTAACGAACACTTTCACGAAAGATTTTTGTGTTCGGTTAACGAACACATATTCAGATAACGAACACTTTCAAGAAAGATTTTTTGTGTTTGGACAACGAACACATGTTCGGATAATGAACAAAATGAATTCTAACGAACACTTCTCGGCCTGAAAAAGAAGTACTATTAAACCTTTGTTATCATTTTCATACAAAATAAGATCACTGAAAGGAGAAATGTTTAAAGCATGTTTAGTATTGA